TTGCAGCTACAGCTTCATAACGCACAACTTGAAGCGAAAAACAAATTTAATTAGTATCCAAAATGTCAACTAAGCAACTGTTATAAAATATACGAAGATTATGAAGAATGATAAAATCTTATTAAATCTCAGACATTCCTTCATTTGGGAAAGTATGAACTGAATTTAATATTGAAAAGTCCAAGAGAGAACTCGATCCGAAACTTAAATTTTCAAACACAGTAGAATGTGGTTATAACAACTTTGGTTCTGCTCCCCAGATAAGCTGATATGAGTATACCTATATGGTTATAGCGTCTTCCGAGAATAGCGGCAGTCCCTTGAGCGCCGTTCTAATCGGATTCCACTGTACTTGAAATAGCACCATTTTGTACAAACCAGGACGGTGAAACACTTCTGGCTCACATTAGACCAACCGACTCACTTTCTAGCCCCACATTGTTGCAATCGCTGGCACCTGTCGATCCCGTTTTAGTCCGATGTCCTAGATGCTACAAAGCAAATGCAAACTATCCCTAAGCAACATGTGTAATATGGAGGTACGACCACAAATTCCAAGTAGAGCAAAACAAAACGTTAGCCTCAGGCTCGCCCAAAACTCACGTCTGCACAGGGAAAATCAGATTTCCTACCACTCAAAGCGCTACAGCAATCGACTGAAGGAGGTCCACGCCAACCACGCCGACTTGAAAGAAAGCTGCCATATTTCAGAACCATTAGAAAACTAAGAAGACGTCAGCTCGTTAACCTACTCTCTGATAACCAATAATTAACATACCTTTATATAACTTTAGATTATTAGATAATCTAAGCTTGTGAGCATAGCTCACGGCAGATTATGGGAATAAAATTCAATCTGGCAACCCCATATAAGGAGTGTAACTGACAATCCACTCATTTGATACCTTAATTCTCTATCAAACTCATAACTGAACCCAGCTTATCCAACAAATCTGCACCAATTTAGACTTTTCTTTACATAGTAAGTGCTCCATAAATTCTGGAAACCAACTAGTGAAAAATCCAAACTTTTAAAAACCACTCGAAAGTTATGCTAAATAAGACACTTGACCTCGCGGGATTCTCTAAGCCGAATAGACTAGCAATTGATCATAATATAAGAGCATTACAGTCGGCCATTACCAATTATAGAATACTCATTTACAGTTCAAAACCGGAACCCATTCAAAATGGGAAATTAGATTTGCGTGGGCTCGGAACTCCCCAATATACTAATTTCACTTTAATGAATTATTATACAAAAACCTGAAAATGTGTTCATTATTATGATAGTATGATATTATGTTTATTATTGCGATCTATTTCTGTATTACTGTGCTCAGCTAACTTTGGACAGTTTGCCAACAAGAACAATTCGTTTGTTCCTGAAGAGATCAATTCAAATAAATCAAACAAAATCCACAATGAAGAGCGCTAATGGCTTCAATTGTATTGCATTCTATTAAGATTTGAGTCTAAAAATTCGAAATCACAAATCAGTTGCATCTGAGACTGCAGTTAATCTAATGCTCCGACTCGAGTAACAATTGTTGGCTGATGGCTATATCAAGTGATATATTTTAAATAATATCATATTACATACCATATAAATACCACTCGATTATGTTGACACTGTATTTGGAGTTAACATGACACCAAATTAATTGAGACTTTTAATTGGAGCTAGTTCAAGGTAGTTAAATGTAATATATGTATATCCTTCGGTCATTAGCATCAATATAAGTTAAATAAACACAGATGTAACAGAAACAGAGAAAGGAAGAGAGAGAGAGAGAGAGAGAGAGAGCACGCAGTTGTAGTTGTAGTGTAAATATTTGCTCATAACAATGGAGTTTATTTGGATTGCGCATACGCCTAGTTAGCCAACCCGTTGTGCTGTTAGCGCTCGACTTTGTAAATCTCGTTGGCAATTGGCATGTCCTCCGTGGATACCGGCGCGCGTTGGCAAGCTCTGTGAAATGACTATTTGGCTAAGTGGAAAACGCGCTGCGCATGAAAAGCCAGTGAAAATGTAACTACAATAAATATTGCCTCCCAGCGAGGCGAGTCGAGGGGAGGCGAGGGGAGGCGAGGCGAGGCGACGGCAAAGCAAGCGGCCAACCTTTAAGTAATTGTCGTTGGCTGCTGGCTGTTAGCTGTTAGCTGTTGCCTGTCGGCTGTTGGTTGTTGGCTGTTGTTGTCATTACAGTTGTTGCTGTTATTGCCACAGTTCTTTATTATTATTGTTATTATTGTTATTCTTATTTTGTTTTCTGTTTGTTTGCCTTTGCTTACTTTTATGTTAAAGAGGCCTTCGACGAAAGGGCGCGCCTGCCGAACATTTTAATGAGATTTTTGATTTCCAAAGAAACTCAAAACGTAGCATTCAAGTTTAACCCCGTTCGCTCCTCGGCCCCTCTCGCTCCCATTGTCAATATCCCGCTCAATGTCTGCCTGTCTCGCTCTCGCACGCTCGGCCACAGGCAGCCAAGTTAATTAGCAAAAAACAGATAACGTCGCAACAAAGTCGACACACACTCACCTATATATAGATATATATATGAATGAAAATGAAAGGAGCAGCCAGCATCTAAGGCCATCTAATGTCTGTTCCACCTGCCACCTGCCCCAGCCAAAAGCCACCAGCCACCTGGCCCTCAAATGCATGCCATCAGTCACTTAACATTGTGTGGGTGGCAGGCAAATCGGGACGGGGGCTGGACGGGGTAAAGAAATGATTTATTATCTGCGAAGGCAGTTAAATAAAATTGCTTGAAAATTGTTTGGGCAAACACCAGTTGGACCTCGTTACAGTTACAGCCACAGTTACAGTTACATTTCGAGTTACAGCTATATTTACAGCCGCGCCGTAACTCCTTATGTTTATGTTGTTCTGTTGATATTTCTGCAAAGTTAATGAACTGGAAAACCCACACAGCCAGCGCCAACTTTGATGGCGACTCTTACATGTTTCTCTCTTCAGCTGTCTTTGGCTTCATTTTCGAAACTCTGCCAAAAGTACGCTCAGAGTTGGGCTTAAATGAACACGAATTCAGAAGGGCAAAGCCAAAGCTCTGCAAAATGAAAATTTTTTATTCCAATGACTACAAATGCCCAATGAGTACGAAAATACATATATTCCATTCAAGCATTCAATCGTCACGCGTACTCTAAATCGATAAGTATTGATTGAAATCATCTATTTTTAAAGTTCCAAAAGCAATGGAGTTTCCAGTAGGACACCAACTCTAAGAAGTGGAAGCGATGAATGCGATTGTTATAAACACATTAAAGTCTGACCCCTTTAGATCTATAATTAGATTTTCGTTTCAGTTACAAATTCATTCAAGTTTATAAATCAATTTTCATCAACATAAAAAAGTAAATTTAGAAACAAGTAAGAATATAACAGTCGGGCGTTACCGACTACACAATACTCATTCACTGCCCAAATGCTGCCAGCTTCATTTTCTCATTTGCCACGCCCCCAATTTGTGCACTATATTTATAATATCAATAATAAATTTATATTTAAATAGAGCAATTAATTTCTAGATTCAAAACTGTAAAAAATACATGCCCCAAATGGGCGTAGATAAATCCACCATACATTTTTTATATTGGTTTCTCTAGCATTTCAACTAATAGGATTTCTAGCAGCCGGTATGATCTCTCAATTCGCCACGCCCTTAATGGGGCACATCGGGAAAAGCTTGACAAATTACAATTTAAAGCCATCCATGAGTATATGTATGTTCTCTGGTTCAAACGAACGGACGGACAGCAAGGCGTACATTGCGCTTTAGCAAGTATAAATATACCAATGGGGGGCGTGGCCAATGGGATCAATCAGCGATTCGGTAATGAATGAGTATTCGGCGGTTGGTAAAGAATGCAATGATTTCAATTGCTGATATTTAAATAATCCAAATTTAATTTTTGTACATATTATCTTATTGTTGCAAATTTAAATACAAAATAATACATTTTCCAATATTATGTCTTATTTACATATGTATAAAAAAAAAATATTTTTTGTAAATATAAAATTGTATTATTTTGTATAATTTTGTAAAAATAAATGATAAATTATGATTATTGCAAATATATTTTGGCATAATACATTAGGTATTTGTTATATTATATGAGCATGTTTTTTATATATTTTACACTCTTCTCATTTGTTCTTCTATTATTCATGTCAGCTGCAATCTTAACAGGATGGTAAGAGATTTAGTTCAAGAAGAAGACATTTCGAGAAGAGCATTTTACTTAAAGAAAATATAATAATAATTGTTACATTAATTCCAAGTAGATATTTATTTAAATATATTTATTTACAGTTGGGTCTAAATAATTTGTACCCCGTAAAATCGAAAATCGCGATTAATCGAAAAATTCTATCCCCTTGAAAAAAATAATCGTTTCCGATAATTCGAATTTCTGAGTAATTCAAAAAAAAAAAAAAAAAAAAAATTATTCCCTTGCCATTTCTAATTATCGGGAATCGACTGAATTTATTTTTCTGTTTTTCACAATATTTCATTCGAATTCATGTTTTTATTAATATACTATGCTTCATTGATCTTTGGATTTTGTTTAGTAATATAACAAATAAGAAATACAAATGAACAGATCTTTACAGCTCCTAATTGAATACACATACCATAAAACTGGAATACGCACGGATTTGACATTTTCCTTAAATAAAGTAGGTGTGGTCTAAGCACAGACGATGGTCTAAAGTAATTCGATATAATATTACTAATGAGTTTAAAAATGGATTGATAACTGACAAATTGAATTTCAAATGTTCTGCTTCAAGTACAGCAGAATCCGGTTATAACGACGCTCAAGCGACCGTCGTACCCGGAAGACACTGTAACCATATAGGTTTACTCATATATGATTATCTGGGGACCAGAGGGGACCGTACGGACGCTATAAGCGGAGTCGTTATAACCGGACTATACGATAATTAGCATAGATTCTGTACTCACCTTCTCAACTTGTTGTTTCTGTTGTCGTTGGGCTATTTGCTGCCTTTGCTCACAGCTTTGACACTTGTTTACTTAGATTTTTCTTTTTTCTTTTTGTTTTGGTTTTGCTTTCGAAAATAATTTCAAAACATTCGACTTTCGTCTGGCTCAGTCGGCTGGACGTCGCTGAGTTATGCAGATGCAAACACCTTGGGCTTTGGCACAGCAAAAAAAAAGAAGAAGACGAAGAAGAAGAACAACAATCAAGACGCACACACACGCGCACACACAGACGCAGAGAAATCCGCAAGCACAACACGAAAATTTTTCGAAAATTGTAACCGTTATGCGTACGCGAGTGTAACTGTTGTTGTTGTTGCCCTCTCCGACTAACAAAGCGCTGACTGTCAGTGATGCTGACTGAGCGGAATGCTTTAGCTGCTGCTGCTTAGCCTTAGCCTGCCGTTGTGCGAGAGCGAGCGAGACAGAGAGATAGTTTAGAGTGTGTCTGAAGCTGAACCGAATCGCACGAGAGTCTGTTGACGAATGATTCGAAATCGCAACGTTCGACTCGAGAGTCCGGAAGCATCCGTCCGTTCACAACAAGTTGTCACACTGTAACAGCAACGCAACAGTAAAAGCCCCCAAAGCTTTTCCTGCTCACGCTCCTGCCAGCTTTTGCTGTTAGCGTTAGCTTGCGCTGCTAGCGTTGCAAAAGCTCAAATCAGGCCGAGTTTTAACTGCTGAAATAACCGTTATATCTGAATCTGTATTCAGATTGCCCTATAATACTCAACTGATCTGAAACAGCAAGCTATTTAATGAGCATACAGAATGGGATGTAAAGTGGACTATGTAATCTAAGCAGAATCCACTAGTTTTTGTGTTTCATGGAAGCATTTTAGCTTAAAATTAAATTTTAGTTTCTATATACTGCCCTTTTTAGAGGTAATACATATTTAATCCTGGCTGAGAAATAGCGCAACTCAGCCCCTTTCAAACTGAAGTCAGTGGAAAGCGTAGGCAAAATAAAGCAACTTCCGTTCCATTTCTCACATAGTAGGGCAATGGTGAATGTCAGCAAGTTACTAAAATTTTATTAATTAATAATATTTTTAAATGTTAAAAAATTTGTATATGGGTAATTCTCTAGTGGCGAATGTGACATTCGTACGTATTTGAGAAAAAAAAAAAAAAAAAAAAACAAACAAAAACAAACGCCAAAACATTTTTTTATTTTGATGAATAGTGAATCTTTTAGCTCTTAATTATCTCTATAAATGGTGCTGAATCTGATTTTAGGCAAATGTTAGTTTTCAAGATAATCACAAAAAATATAAATAAATACAAAAAACGTAAGTCGCTTTTTAAATGAACAGTTCAACCTGAGATTTTAGCGAAACCTTAAGTGACAATTTATTACGTATAATTTGAAATTATTAGAAATTGGCACATCTTTTCAATGTTTTTCATTTGATTCAAAAATATTGAGTAGTTTTTTTTATTTTTTAGTTTTAATCAGGGTCGAAGGGAATGAGACATTTTTTCCACCATAAGTTTTTATTTTTATTTTTTTTTATTTTTTTTATTTTTAGTAATTGTACATGAATAAAAGCTTTAGAAATGATTTTCAGGGTATTAAATTTATTAAGTATAATAAAATAGAGAAAATTCTAAGTATCATATTTCATTGCATTGTGTCTCAATAATAAGAACAAAGTGTGCAATAGAAATGCTCAAAACAGAACTTTTGCTCTTATTCGGCTTTGTGTCTCAATATTTCGAGATGCATTATGATAAAATGTATAATTGGTTTATATTAGTTAAATTTGATGGTTTAGTTATAAAAAATATGTTAGCAGAAAGTGCGTTCATTGACTTTTATTGTTTTGGCTGTAGTTGACCTCTTTGGAGAAATGCCCATATGTATTAAAATAATTTTTCAAAAACTATTTTTATTTTTTTAATTTTATTATTTTATTTTTTTTTTTTACCTACAAATTTTCTATTAATATACATTATCAAATTGTTTTTAATTGATATATTTTTCAAAATTTGAAGATTAATACAAATTAGTGATAAACATTTTTTAACAAACAAGTATTACTGTGCAAAAAACTTTGCACTAGATGTCTAATCTATGTATGTATGTACTTATGTGTTGTATGGCTAGTGACTGATTTCTGATCAGATTCCTCACGGTTGAACAAATAAGATAATCAGATTCTCACAAAGTATCATGCAATTACACAATTGAAACATACAACCGGCTCCTAATTAATTTATATTAATGTTTTAAATTAAAAAATAAAAAGGCTTTTTAAATTGTTTTCTTTTAAAATAACGTTTGCGATGGTCTTCCCTCCTTGCTCTTGTCACTCTTTGCCATTCCTGTATAGAAATGAAGCCTCCTGCATCATGCACTCTCTCTTTAATCAATGCAGCTCACGTGCCATCTCGCTCTGATTCGTAATGTAGCATACTTTATACGCATTTCACTCTGTTTGGTTGAGTATTGGAGAAAACATTTAATCAATCTATGAGAAAGCAATTGGATATTGCTTTTATATTATTATATAATAGGCGCCTTTGATAATGCTTTTAAGACGCTTAAGTCTGCCCTAATTAAGATATAAACAACATTCAAACGGATCTTTTCAATTACACACCAGCGCTGCATTGTGTTAGATTCATTGCAAAATGCCCTAATTTGGCCTGTATATTGCTTCGGTTTTATATTATTATATATGTATTTATTTATAACAACGTATTTTATTAAGTTCCTCTTAATTTGTTATTTAAGTAGCAAATAAATTTGATTTGTTTAGTTCTGTTTGTGGCTGCTGAGCGAAAGCTGTCCAAATGTAGCACTAAAAATGCCAAATAAAATACCAACTGCAATCGAGTTACTCGACGACAATTTAAGCAGAGTGGCCAGACGAGCTATTGGCCAACTTTTTAGTATTTAAAAATACAGTAAATGGCGGTTTATTTAAACTTTGATTTATTTATATTTAAAACATATTAATACAAACTTTAATGAATGCATTTTAATTTTAAATTAAAATACAATGAATTAGCATAATACGAAAATGTCAAAAACTCTGAAACGTGTTAAATTTGTAAATTATTTTTAATTAGAAAATCACACAAGTTAATTAGTTTGTAATTAGTTAAAGCTCGATTGATGAAACGTACTTCATATATACAATAAATGCAAAGAGTGGAGTATAAAAAAAATAGATTATCAAAGATTTACAAGCTGTACATATGGATATACATTAATATTTCAATATTTATATTTTGTTTTAGGCCTCCATTGTGTTAAGTATGACTTGTGTTAAGTATAACTAAATAAAAAAAAAAAATCAAATATATATATATATGTATATAAGAAAAGCTAAACTCTTATGGCCTTTGGTTTATTCGCGCCAATCGCCAATGATCTGCGATGAGGGCACCAACTCCAGTCGACCGGGCGCATTGGCCACATAAGGCAACGGCGGCATCGAAAATCTGAGAGGACAATGATGAGGATTAGTGTGAAGGAATATAGTAGAGCGCGCAACTCTTACCTGGGCCTAAGCGGCGGCCCCTGGTGTATGGGCAGTTCTTTGGCTATGGGCGTGGCTTTTGGCCTGGCGTTCAGCGACTTGGCCTTGACGAGATTGGCCAGCGGCGCAATGCCCGTGTCGACGCTCTCCAACGTGTTGCGCACCACTGGCGGTGGCTGAGCGGGCCGGGAACGTTGCTGGGCCGCCATCATTGGCAGCTGCGTGAACTGGAACAGACGCGGAGCGGCGTCCTCTTGGGACTGGGCCATCAGGTCGAGCTCTGTCGCAGCTATGTCGGCGGGCGCAGCTGCGCCCAATACCTCTGCTGCGCCCGCTATGCCAACGCCTCCTCCTCCTCCTCCTGCCAGGGGCGGCGTGAACATGGCAGCGAGCTGGACGGGCAGGAGGGCGGGCAGGCGCACGGTTACAGGTCTGCCAGGAGCAAGTGGCTCGGCTTCCGCTGCTGGCTCCGGTGCTGGAGCTGGTGGTGCAGGAGGCGGTGGTGGTGGTCGTGCTGGAGCTGTTGCTGGAGGCTTCCGGGGCCGCTTTGTCGGCGGTGCGGGCGTCTCGGCCGGCTCAGGGGCTGGCGTTGCTGTTTCCGCCTCCACATCCTGCCAGGCCTCCAGCAGCGTCAGCAGCTCATCCTTGGTCATGTGGCCCAGGCCAATGGGGCTGAAGCTGCCCACGGTGTTCCAGTCCAGCGGCGGCAGTTCGTAGAGCGAGCGCTGATCGCGCGCGTACATCAGCTGCTGACCGGCAATGCCATGGCACAGCAGCGGCAGGAGCAGCCACACTAGACTTGTCGCCATTCTCTTTGCTGGTTGATCCACAATTGTTGCTCCGCTTGCCGACTGCTGCCCATTTTATATGTTCCCATCCTCTGCTCAGCATGTCAGCCAGTTTGGCTTTGCTTTTGCCTCTTGGACCGGAAAACGGAAGCGCACGCACCAAGCGGCGGGTGAACTGGTTATAAACATGCCAAATGGTCACTCTAATCCCAGGCACTCACGGCCCACTCCATGCGTATGCCTGCCCAGCCAATGACCAAGTCCAAGTCCAAGCGCCCAGCTCTGAGCTGCTGCACGCAAACCGCATTTCTATGCCCTCGATCCATAAATGGGGCGACTATACAGGGTATGCTGGGCATGCCTAAACAGTTAAATATTTGTATACTAAATAGTAAATACAATATTGTTCATCCTCTAGGGACAGTCTCGTATACCAAGTGAAGATCTATGATGTTCAATTGAATATTTTATTTTTTATTTTTGTAAATATTTTTTATTTGAGTTTAATTTTTTAAATAACAAGTCTTCTTTCTAATTTAGAAGTCTATAAAGTATATAAAATGATATAGTTATTTTATTTTTTCTTTAAATCTTCAATAAACTCAAAGTTGATTGAGAGGTAATTTGGTTCAGCATTAAAACGATATTAAATTATTACCAAGCAAGAATATAGTTTACATTTTTATTCAATTATGTACAAAATATCGTTTCTTTCTTCAATCGGATAACTCCGCCCCTGGAACGCCCATACCACGTCAGCCTGCAGGGTATCCTTTAGTCCAGCATACATCTACTCGACAATCTGTGATTTTAAAGGCCAAACCAGTTGCCCAGGCGAACTGTAACAGCCGACGCTCTATTTTTGTCGGACTTGGCGTTGGAGCTGGGGCTGGGGCTGGCGCTGGAGCTGCATTTGGAGCTGGTTGTGCGTGGATTTCGATGTTGATTTATGCTGCAAATTTGTTGCGGTTCGAGGAAGCGTTTGCCAAACGTTACAGATTTATGCGTACTATGTATTCATGGGCATTCATAGCTAGTCGCCGTTGTATGTTTGCGTATTTGCCTCGTGTTTTCACTTTCAATTGCCTGGTTCGAGTAGTTCAGATAATTAACTAACTCAGCATATGAGAAATATCTATCACATATCGAACATGAGCTCGAAATGTATTCGGAATTCGTTATTGTGACACATAAACTATGGCATGAATGTTATATAAGTCAGAGTACTATGTGTACCTCTCTTTCTTTTTCGCTCTCTCTCTCTCTATCTTTCTCGATCGCTCACTTTAAGGTTTATCAATTCTTGTTGCTTAGGTTAAGACAAACTGCAAAAAGGACATTAAAAAGGCAAAGTGTATCTCTAATCGAACTTCACATAATAATTTGATTCAGTAGCTTGTTGAGATAACTTGTTAACTGCATTATCTGTCATTAGAGATCGTATTGATTTCCGCTTAATACGTACTGTGAAGTATTATCTTCTCCTCGTGATTATCTATTTTGACCATCAGATATTATGCACTTGAGTCCAATATTTTTTTCCCATACTCGTAGCACTCTAAAAATTAATACTGCGTGATCTTAATCAGCTGATCTTCCGATACTGTCGTTATCTACTCAATGTCAGCGTAGCGGTTTCCCTCATCTATCCCTTCCAGTCGACCAAACCAAGCAACTGTCAAAAATGAACTGAGCGTTCGAAAGGGTTGAACTTGTAGGCATAGGTCTATCGTAGGAGTTTGAGCAGCAAACCCGAGCATCGAATGTATGAAAAGTATATTCGCACAGCAGCAACTTTTTTATATGGCTTGATAAATATGTACAAATATTTATAAAAGAAAGTGTCATAAATAAAAAAATAAATAAATAAAATAAAAATAATAAATACCTCAGTTGAAAAGCAATGGCTAAATGCTGTTAAAAATAAACTTCTATTAAAACCTTTACGTGATTGTAAATAAAATATGTTAAACGGAAAATGTTAAAGCAGAATAAGTGAAACATCACAGATCGAAGACTAAGTGAACCTCATTGTGAGGTTGCAGTCTATGAATATTGCTTATTTCCGACATTTAGCCACCTCATGTACCCCCCCTTATGTAATGACTGAACTCCTCACCCATCGACGCGAAGCTGTCAACATTTTTGTCCACTTATATAAATCTACATTTAATCCTCCAGCATTTACCCGACTCAACAATCATCGATCGATGATCATTCGATTTTTTGTGGCAGCTCAAGCGGTTATTTGCAATAAATTGGGAATGCGACTGCGGCACCTTTGGATGGCGATGACTCAGTGGGGCGCTTAAGCCAATTACGGCCAGTGTGGCTTTCGATGAGTCTGTGTAATGGATATTAGTGGATGCTACCGAGTCGGATGCAACTGGCAACGTTTCTATCGAGTCGCACTGGCGTTACGCATTCGTCACTTGACCCAGTTGCCGGCTCAGATTGTCTCGATGGTCCGATGGTCCAATTGTCCAATTGTTGCGCCCCGCCAGCTGTTCACCTGCTCAATTGATCGCCTCGTAGCCATAACATGGGCAGCGAAAGAGAAAAGGAGGCCGCCTTCAAAATTTATATTATCAGTAATGAATAATGAATACCGCCAACTGAATAATAAAAAAAAAAAAAAAAAAAAAGGCGTCTATTGCTCTGACAATGGCCAACAACGATGCTCATTACATAAACGGGGCGCATTGCACCAATGATTGCGATTACCCTCCTCTCTTTCCCTCTCCGCCCCCCTCTCTGACGCTCTTTCACTGACACTCTTTAAATACCTAGCAATTGATGCAGACGCCGTGGCTCCGGCTGCGGCTGCGGCAGACGATGACGACGTCGAATTAGCGTTAATTGTCGCAGCTCTTGGCGACTTTGTCAATTTGTATACCCTGTACTCATCGGATGTGCCTGCAACAATGTAGGGTATCATAGGTTTGACTAGATGAAATGTGCAACAGATGTGAATATGAATACGAATATGAATATGAATATGAATATGAATATGAATATGAATATGAATATGAATATGAATATGAATATGAATATGAATATGAATATGAATATGAATATGAATATGAATATGAATATGAATATGAATATGAATATGAATATGAATATGAATATGAATATGAATATGAATATGAATATGAATATGAATATGAATATGAATATGAATATGAATATGAATATGAATATGAATATGAATATGAATATGAATATGAATATGAATTTGAATATGAATATGAATATGAATATGAATATGAATATGAATATGAAATTAAATATGAATATGAATATGATGATGAATATGAATATGAATATGAATATGAATATGAATATGAATATGAATATGATGATGATGATGAGTATGAATATGAGCTTATTCTCTCCCAGCTTGGTTCCTCTCTTTCTGCAGTGGACTCTCTCATTCCCCTCCCTCTGTCTATAGAGGGTATCTGTTAGTCGCGCTGAGCTTGCCTAGTGCACTTTTTCTTGACTCTAGAGTCGTCGGCCCCAACCCCAAGCCCGGCTGCGTTCCCCTTAACGCTTAACAAGATTTGGTAGCGCGACAGCTCGAGGGGTGTTTGTTGGATAGCAAGTCTGACTCATTATGCAATCGCAGCGTTGCGCTTAATGCGATTGGATTTAAAGACCCTTTGGTCGGCTGGCTGGCTGGCTGGCTGCATAGCTAGTTGGCGTTGGCTTGTTGGCTGGCGAAATTGGCAGCGAAAATGGCCTAAACAATGCCACTGCTTTCCATTGATAAATCAGCAATGTAAGCGGGCAACGCTTGTGCACAAATCGTTCACTTTTACCACCAAGCGCAACATTTTCTGTTTTTCCTTTTTGTTTGGGTTGGCTTTGCTGGCATTTGGTTTCTGTTAGGCAGAACCCGCTAGCTCCCTGACCTAACCCAAGTGCCCAGGCGCTTTGCATAACAGCAACAGCCATGGCAATAGTAACGCCAGCAGCGCCAGCAGCTGCGACAGCGGCAGCATTTTTGGCTTTCCCAGCAAGTCACGACCGCCGCAATTTTCTTGTCACTGTCACCCAAAACGCGGCACACGCAACAAAGCCAAGCAGCAGCAGCAGCAGCAGCACTCGCAACAGTTAACAGTTAACAGCAGCAGCAGTCAAGAAGACAAACAAACAACAAAAAACGGCAGCAGCCCAAAGCCAAAAAAAAAAGACAAAAAAAAAAAAAAAAAAACATCAGGCAAGAGCAGCGCAGCTGACGGCGACGTCGGCTTCGACGATTTCAGCATGCTGATAACAAGAAAGCTTCATAACCGACGAACAAGTCGGCGATGAAATACACTCTCCCTCTCTTTCTTTCCCTCTCGAGAAATTGTTTTCACTCTCAGTTGCTCATGTTAAATACTTTGACATGAAGTTAGTGCAGGCTAAATTAAGAAATAATGCATATGAGAAAACTTATATGGTTTTAGCGTCTTCCGAGTATAACGACAGTTCCTTGAGCGGCGCTATACCCGGATTCTGTTGTATATTGTAGTAGGCCTATAAAAGATTAGATGGAACAGCAATATGGTTAGCTATCAATAGATGTACATCTATCGATGGCTATAACGCTGTCGGTAGTTGGCTTGAATTCAGTGATCGTAGCTTAAGAAGAAGAAGAAGAAGACGAACGAGAACGTAGTTCTTAATTTAAAGCGAAGAAAATATTTTTTTCTTATGGCAAATTTGTTTAAAAACTAATTTTCTGTAGATGTAATGTTGATCCGAAAAACTTAACTTATTCCTAAATGCGACAATTCTGGCTTAATGAATGGGTCGAAAATTTAGAATGAAAACTCAATATCAATGTCAAGCTGTCCTTTAGTTCTGGTATAATACTAGCCATGAAATGTTAATAATTAAATGTTAGGTATTAAATTGACTGTCAAATAAGGCAGTCTTACCAACTCAAAGCTGCAAGCTTCTAAAGTTAACGACCTTTTATAGAGGCTAACAGAAAATATAGGCCGGTTGAAGCATGTCTTATAGATATAATAGAGTGATATATCATTACATTACATAATAAACTCAAATTGAATTTATATCACCTTACCATACGATTCTCTAACTTGAAATGGATTATATCAGAGTCATTCCGTTAAGAGCGCAGACCTTTAACCTCTAATTCTTACATATTCAACAAAAATGTTGATTTACAAGACTTATACAAAATATGAAGCTTTTTTGGAAAGATGTTCATATTTGCTTTCCTACATATCACAATTTTGATAAGATTTGTAAAGATTAGTTTAGAAAAAAAAAAAAAAGAACATCCTAATAATCTAAAATTATTATCCCATTTATAAAACAGATTCCAAATAAATCAGAAATTTAAAAAATTTATACTTTTATGTTCACTCTCACTCTCAAGATCAACTGGACCGTAAGCTCACAACATATTTATGTGCAAGATTTTCCACTTACTTCAAAATGACGAAACTGTTTTCCACGTAACTTCAGCAAGTGTGAAAATGAGGCGCAAAATATTTCTTCGCAACTCGTGCGAGTTGCCAGGCAAATGCTAATAGATTGAAGAATCCGCTAAAATCTGGCTGAACATGGATAATAATAAAGGTCTTCACTGTAGGATTACCAACCTGAGACTTCCGCATGAGCGGAAAATAAGTGGAAAACTGAAATCAACTTGAATTGCTATTGGCACATACATATGTATATAACAAACTAAATGGATGAAAAACTCTATAAATAATTTAAATATATTTATCAAATGTATCTAGATGAGCTTAAGACAGTGTATTCAAATAACTTGCGAGCAGAAAGCAAAAAAAGAGTCACAGCTGCAGCTGTTGTCGCTGCTGCTGTTGCTGCTGCTGCTGTCGCTGTCTCTGCCTCAGCTGGCGTCGCTGCCTCGACTGCTGCTGCTGCAGCTGCTGGCGCTTTGGCTGGCGGTTTCCATTTCATTTTTAAGCAAACGCTCGACGCGTTCAGCGTTTTAATATTTAATTCTCGTCGCTCGCGAACGGTCGATTAATTCAACAGCGATTCACACGTTGAGCGTTCAGCACTCGGGCTCAGTCAACGCGCGCGTCTCCTTTTTTTTAAGTGAATAGACAACAGCAAAAATACAGCAGAAATTATTTGAATAGTTTTTTTTTTTTTAATGTTCATTGCTCTGTGAATTGTGACGAGCCTCAAGGATACACACAGCTCCAGCCTAATCAGTTAAAGTCAATCACAATGCTTAGCTCAAGTGCGCCGCTCTCTTGGCTCTGCGCCTGCGCTGCCGCGCTGCTGCTGCTGCGGCTACGGCTGCTGCCTGAAACCGCGGCGCGCAGCTACAGCAACGGCCTGATCTTCTACGAGCTGGCCACGCACACGCCGTACCTGCCGCCCACGGTGAGCGTGTCGCGCGGCCGCAATCTGGCCAGCGTCAAGTACTCGGAGAAGGGCTCCATCTGGTCGACGTTTGGCCAGCCCTGCGAGTGCCTCGGCCCGCGCTGCGGCTGCTGCGCCGGCCTCAAGGTGGATCAGTACAGGTTCGATCAGAAGGGTACGTACACACACACTGACACACATACTCCCAGCTGCTGCTCCACTTGTCCAGCTGCTTGATTGAAGCGTCTGCACTTTTGCCATGCGCCATCAACCAGGTCGACAGACCGATAGACAAGCTAACAACAACAACAGCAACAACAACAGTAGCAGCAACAGCAACAACAGCAAGTGCCACAAATTGTTGCCAGTCACATGACATGGTTGCATTTGCCAATCAAAATGCCACAAATCGTTTGCATGTTGGCGCTCAAAGCTCTGCGCTCTGCACTCTTCGCTCTTCGCTCTGCTCTGTTCGCAGTTGGAATCCAATTGGAATCGCAAGCTTCCACCCGCAACTTTCATTGCACTGCGAGAAACTCTCGCGCAGTTGCTCTCGTTTTTGTTTTCGGCCTAACTGTTACTTTCTTTCTCTAATTGCAGTTTGCGCCAACGTCACGTTCGTGCCGCACCTGGAGGAGGCGCAGCTGGCGGTGTTCCTCAACGAGCGGCCCTCGTCCAAGTATGGGATATCGTTGCGCAATCCGTCGCCCTTCTGCATACCCGTGATGATGGGCGTGCCGATGGCCATGTGCGTCCAGATGACCGACATAGCCATGGTGGGCAACAACCTGAACATGTGCATGGACTTCGTGGTGCGCCTGGCCACCACCGATCTCTTCGAGATGCACTTCCAGTGCATGCGCATGGGCCTCGATGGCGTCCAGTACGTGGACAAGAATGGCAATCCCGTGCTGCCGAGCACAAGCAGCATGGAGGCGGAGAATGAACAAGAAGATGCGGCCGAGGATGACAGTGCGAAGGATGTGCAGGACTATGACTATGCCGACCGGGATGACCAGAAATACGCACAGCCCAGCGCAGAGCTCGAGGCCGAAACGGAGCCCGAGCCGTTGCCAATCGAAAGTGAAATGCTCATGGCTGGGGATCAAGAGCTGGCAGTGTCATCGACTTACAATGACGGCGATGTTGACGCTGACGCTGACGCTGACGGTGAAGGTGAAGGTGACAGTGAAGTTGATGGCGTTGGTAATGGTGATGGCGAAGGCGACGGCGACGGCGACGATGACGTTGCGGAGCAGGAGACGGTGCCAAAGAAGGAGGGAGAGAAGGAGGCGGAGGAGGAGACGGCGGCGCCAGCACAGCTCGACGTTGACAATGCTGGCGAGAGCGACCTAAAGCAAAACGAAGTAATTGAAACAATTACAAATTCAATAACAGCCAACGAGGCGCCAGCTGCAACATCAACGACAACAACAACAACAACAACAACAACAACAGCTACAGCTACAGCAGTAACAGCAGCATCATCAACAACAGCAGCAGCAGCTACTGAAGCTGAGCAGGAGTCTGAGGAGGATGCGACAACGACAGTAGCTGAAGTTGCCAATGACCGTGACAATGAAGTGAATGTGGATGATGACGATGATAAAGAAGAAGAAGAAGAAGACGAAGGAGAGGAAGAAGAAGAAGAAGCAGTCAATGCAGATGCGGATAAAGCTGACAACGAGTTGGAGCCTACGACAGAGGCAGCAGCTGAGGAAGACACCGAGACAAGCGAGACTGAGGCAGAGACTGAGGGCTCAACGGCGGCACAGCAGGCAGCTGATGTTGATCAAGGCAATGATAATGATGATGATGATGATGATGATGATGATGGTGGTGATGATGACAACGATGATGAAGACGATAATGATGAAGATGATGTGGACGATGAGGGGTCAGTTGAGGCTAAAGACGCTGACGAGGCAAAGTTAAGCCAGGAGGCGTCAACTGCTAATAGCAATGAAAGCGCAGCAGCAACAACAACATCAACAACAACGGCAACAACAATGAGCCAAGCCGCGAAGCTGTTGATGGGAATGTAAATGGAACTGAGGTTAAACAGCAGCTGCAGCCACAGCAGCAGCCGCGACGACTGCAACGCTTGCGCTTGCGACAGCGCAGCGGGATTTAATTGCTGCAACAGCTGATTGTTAATTTATTTATTATGATTATTGTTAATGAATTGTTAATGTTAAACGCTTGTTAAATTATACATATTTATTGCTATTGTAGAAAAAAAAGTCAAACAAATAAAAGAGTAAGCGAAAGAAAACAAAATTAATACATTAATGATGCAACACAAAAGAAAATTTTGAGCAACAGTTGCGGAGCGACTGGAGCGGAGGGGCCAAGCAGTTGAGAGCGACTGGCGCAAGGAATGTTAATGAAGGGCGTTAATGAATTGTTCGTGCTAAAAGCTTGTTAATTAATTATTTATTGCTATTGTAAATAATGACAAACAAATAAAAATGTGAGCGAAAGAAAAATAAATAAATAAATGAAGAAACACAAAAGGCAACAATACAATGGAGACCATTTCGAGACGAGCAACAGCAGCAGCAGCAGCAGTAGCAGCAACAGTTGTAGAGCAACTGAGGCAAAGCAAAGCAACTGGAGCAGAGAGCAAGCAGTGTAGCCCTATCAAGCAGTTGACCCAATGCTCCTGTTGCTATTACTCCTGTTGTTGCTGCTGTTGCTGCTGCTGTGTTCACTGAAACACTTAATGGAATATTTCCTCAGTGCGGTCAGCCGACTCAATTGAGCTATACGATGTCTGTTTGCGCCTGGGGCCCTTGAAATTCTGCTCCGCTTCACGGTGGCGCGCAAAGTTTAGTTGATATTCGTTGACCGCCTGGCAGAGAGCCACATAGGCCCGCAGCTTGGGCGAGTGGAGCCGTTCCGCCAAGTGGCTGGCCCTGGTCAGCGTCTCGCCCAGTCGCCTGAAGCGGTAGAAATTCGCGTGCACCTGACAGATCAGAAAGGTGATATTGAAGCGCCAAACGGTGCTGTTGCAGTTGCCCGCGTCTGTTGGTCCACAGCGATAGCTACGTTAGTCAACTCGAAACTCAACTTCAAAATCCAATTGCAGCTTACCAAGCAGCGCCTTCTGGGCCATTATTATCGCCTTGTCGAAGTGAGACGCCTTGAAGTGGCAGCGCGCGATCTCGAACTTCAGGTACGTGCGCTCGATGCCAAAGCGCGAGTGCTTCAGGCGGCTGCACAGTCGCTCGATTTTCTTGCTGCCGAATAGGATCGGAATGAAATGGAAAGAAAGAGAATTGAACGAAATGGAACGTAGTGAAATGTATTAGAATGAAGTAGAATGGAATGGAATGAAATAGAATGGAATTGAAAGGAAGAAATGGAATAGAAACCAATGGAATGAAATCAAATCAAAGAGAATAGGATGGAATGAAGTGAAAGGGAATGGAATAAAACGGAATGGAATATAATAAAATGGAATGGAAATGAAATGGAATTTAATGGAATAGAATAGAATGGAATGGAATGAAATAGAATGGAACGGAACGGAACGAAAGGGAATGGAATAATATGAAATGGAACGAATTGAAATTGAATGGACTAAAACAATACGAATGGAATAAAATATAAAATATTCAATTCCATTCGATTTTACTTCATTTCATTTCACTTCGTTATATCTCATTTCATTCCACCTTATATGGAATTGGGCTACAGTTCTATTCATATTTGTGGCTTACACCATGCGACTCTGTCGCGCCTCTTCTCTGTCGATTTCGGCGTAATTATTGCGATCGCCGAAGCTAACGGACAGATCCCTGGCACGTTCCGTCGTCAGTAGGTAGAGAGTGGAATGGTTGTGGAGATCCAGGAAGTCGACGTTCTTCGGCACGGCACAGCGATCGGTGTGGGCCAGCGCCAGGATGTTGTAGACCTCGTTGACGAACTCCCACTTCCAGGGCAGCGTGCGATTCGTCTTGAGCGCGATGCTGGTGGACATGATGTGCTCGACGTAGTCCGTCAGGCGCTCGATGTTCCGCTCCTGCCGGCGCTTGTGCACCTCGCGCAGCATCCGGAAGCACTCGCGCCGCGTCTGATACTCGATGCGAAGCAGGGCCTCCAGCTGGTTGCGCTCGCAGATCTGGGTGCCGCGGCACTTCTCATGCCTGCACTGATAGAGCGGGCTGCGGCTGTGGCTCATTTTCTGCAGAGAGACGGTGAGACAGTGAGTCAAGAGGGGGGTCAAGAGGACAGGCATATCGCACATGGGACTCCCACCATGAACTTGTGCACTATGGCCGACTGCTCGGCGAGCAGCTCGGTCATGTAGGGCGTGGAGATTTGAGAGGGGAGGTGCGGCAGGGCGAGGCTCGTCTGCAGCTGCTTCAGCATGCCCAGATCTCGGGCGCTGTGGCGCAAGTACTGATAGTTGTAGGCGCTCTCGCGCATGCGACGCTGCGCCCTCTCCAGCGGCGAGTAGTCCGCCTTCTCCTTGTCCCCCAGGCTCTCCACGTCGCACTCCCGCTTCGCTTTCAGCTGCCAATTGGGGCGCGGCATGAAGGCCGCTGAGGCGCACCGAGAGCCCGCCAGCTTCAGGACCAGGGGCCGGTTGTGCAGCATGAAGGGATACAGAGCATCGCCCAAGCTATCCTCGAGCACACTCGTTGTCTAATCGGAGGGGAAACTGCGTCTGATTGGGTCTAAGGATCTCAGTCAAGCGAGCCTGCCTAACTCACGTGGGTGGCTCGGTACTCGAAGCAATCCTTGGCAGCTCTGGCCTGGTAGTTGCGCTTCTCGATGTGGAGCTGCACGAGATTCTCTTCGAATTGGTTGCACTCGAACAACGCGTCGCATCTGTTCAGCACGTTGCTGAGCCTCGACTTGCCCTGGAGCGCCAACAAGTCTTGCGCCTTCTGGGCATCCTCCAGCGCCAGCTCCGGCCGGGCCATCTTCCGCCGAAAGAAGCTGCGCTTGCCCAGCGCATCGGCGGCCATCTGACAGTACTTGTCCTCGGTTGCGTAGCAGCTCTGGCGCCCCAGCTTCGTTAGGCTGTTCCTGCAGCAGGCGCCCTGTTCCTCGGTCTGGCATATGGAGAGGGAGCGGTTGAAGTACTCCAGGGCCTTCTTGGTGCGCAGCCGCGACGCCCAGTCCTTGAAGATGCCCGCCTGCAAGCACAAGGGCCAATCGATGCGCTGCCACGCTTTCAGGTTAGGCGCCAGCTCACCCGTTCGCACGCCCTGCGTGAAGCTGGGGCTAGCGTACGCCATTGCTTTGTGATACATTCGATGCTGGAATTTCGTACGGCAGCTCATAAATTGAGCTGATTTAGCAATACGTCAATTTTGACAATACGTACAATTTTGGCTACAACTTAACGTAATTTTAAATCAATTGAAATTGACAGGCCAATTTTCAAATATGAATTCCAATTCGATTTAGTCGGGCCAAGCATGCAAAGTGCCAAGCAGTTAATACCACTGCTTGCTGCTCAAGGATGCCTGGTTGAAGTACTCCTCAAACTGTAGGGTGGAGTGGCAGGCGCACATAATGTACAGTATGGCATGGATTCCATATAAAGACTTAACAAATATAGTAGTAAAATAAATTTAGACTAGCTTTGTACAAATGAATTGGATACTAAAAAGTTACCTTGTTTCATCTAAATAAGTAATGCAATTTAATTTAGTTGGGCAGAGCATGCGAAGTTAAGTGCAGTTCATAGCACTGCTTGCTGCTGAAGGAAGCCCAGTTCCAATAAGTACATAGTTCACAAACTGTCAACAGTCCAGCAAAATGCCTTATAACGTATTGCGTATACTACAAGATTTTCAAATAGAGAAAACAATATAAATGTGATATATACATGTTACCTATTACTAGAAATGTAGATAATAGTTGTAGAATTTGTACTCATATAATCTATACATTAATATATATATTTATTTCTTGTTCCAACTAAATAACTTGAATCAAATCTATCCCTAACAAGCTGTGGCCTAGCGGTCGCTGCTGGTTTTCGTGGTAACAAGTGCAGAGCTTGTCGTTGTTGCTCTTAGAACTTAGCATCTCCTGGTTTCGTAGACACTAAGTAGTTCAGCAATTTGATGCAATTCTGATCGATGGATGCCACGCGACTTGTTTGACTTTATAATAATGAATTTTTTTAATGTATTGCAAAATTGAAATCAATGCAAAGAAATTTACTAGCACATTTGCCAAGCAGTGCCCAACAGAACAGCATTTGAATGTGCCCTGCGGCACTGCTTGCTGCACTCCTGCAGCATTCGTATGACCATTTTCGAATAACCATCAAACTGTTAAAGCTTAACCTTCAACAACATTAAAGCAGTGCATAGCTGCAGCTATCAAGACAAGGATTCGAATGCATGTCAGTTTGTAAGGATGCCCCGACATACGCATGTATGTATGTATGCATTTCCAGGTACAGGGCAAGTTGCCATCGGATGAAGCGTGATTCGACTTATAAACCAGCTGGCGATTGCGTCATTTGTCCCCACTTCCGTGCAGAAAGTCAAAGTGTTGGATTTTCTCAGGTATTAACGCGGTTGGACACGCTTGCAGCACTCACGCTGCGACCAAACTAATGGATAAAACTCTGCTCTATTACAGGGTATATGGTAAGCAGACGAAAGCGAGAAGCCAGACTCATGAATTGTCGGAAAAAATAAAATAAATAAATAGATAGACAGACAAACCGAGAGAAACAATAACAAACTTTTGGCAAAGACTCATAATAGTGGATGGAATATTGCATAACTTTCAGTTGCTTCTTCTTCTTGTTGTTGTTGCAGCTGTTGGTCAAATTATTTAACTATTTTATTTGTTTTTGCTTTTGTTGTCCATAGTTAGTTTTATCTCTCGTCTGGCTGCCGGTAGATTTGACCCAATTGCTTGGCCAGCGACGCGACGGCGATTTTACAACAATTATTACAAATATTTACGCGAAACATAATTTGTTTAATTGTTTCATCTCTCCTTCTCTCTCTCCCTCTCTCTATCTCTCCCTGTCTATGTTTTTCTTTTCTTCTGGCCGTTTATTATTTCTCTTTTCACATAATTTATGCATTGCTATTGTTTTCTTTCATAAGCGCGATTTGTGAATTTGTGTGTTGAGATTTTGTCGGGCAGACGACGTCGGCGGGGCTGTCACCTGCCCGGAGAGGGTGAAGTGGAGGGTGAGGGTGAGGGCGTGGGCGAGGGGGAGCGGGGAGCGGCGCGAGATCTTGGCAACGATGATTGTTCGCATTTGTATGCCGGCGTGCTGTGGG